TTTCCCTGGCAAGGGTAGAGGTCCAAAACGCGAAAGCGCTTGCACAATCCATGCAAATCAAGTTATCCTAAATCAAAAAGGAAAATTCCCATGGTTCATGCCCTCTTCACTGTGAACTGCTTGTGTGCTAGTTCCTGGTGAATGATTCCAGCAGATCCTGTGTGGGTGTCTGGTTTGTCTGCTTTCATGATGGTAATATTAAACTGGAAATACAAGACTGTTGATACAGGCTTTAAAAATTGTACATTGATCTATGAATGTGCATTGAGTCTCTCACACCTCTTCAACAAATAATGTAAATGGGAAGCAAAAATCCTCATTCTATCATAAACAGCAGTAGCTACAATTTGAGTCATAACTCTGTTGCTTTAATTGTATTGCAGAAGGTGACTGTGTAACAAATAGTTGCTTTATCTTAGTAAAGGTTGTGCCAGGGCATGCTGCAGTATCTCAGGAATTCAAGGTTAGAATAAGCAAGTGTCGGGGGAAAAGTACGTCCAATAAAAAGTAAATAAAAACGTTTCTTATTCCAAAATGCAAAGTTAGACATAAGATCTTAAACGGTAAAACAAGGAACACATCAAAATTAACATTTAGCAATTATAGATGAACATTTTTTAGCTATAACATAGTGTGCATCTCTGTATACACAGGTGTGCATGTTAACGTTTTTTCTTTCTTAAAGCCTTAGGAGCCAATAGTCCCAGGTCCAGATCAGTCTTCCCAGCTGGCCAATATATAGAGGAGATAGACTTACCTTTAAAGCCCTCAAGGCTCTTCCTCTTTCCCCCTCCCAGCTGTCTGACTTGTTTTGGCTGGGGTGAAAGCGCAACCTTTCAAGACCGGTTTGTGATAACAGACTCCAAAGATGGACTGGGGACATGTCTCAAGAAAAACAACCAAGAAATCTCACCACTCTGAGGAAGTATCCATCCTTTTTAAGCATGACACTAGCTATGTTATTCTCAAAGTTGTGTATAAGCTCAACAGGAGGTGTTTTGTTGTAATTTCTTTGGGGTTTGATGGGGGGAGCCTTGAGAAGAGGGGAACCTTCCATGATAGATACCAGAGCAGGCCTCGCTCAGGTGAGGGACAGGAGACACTGCGTTAGGAAACCATAACAATGCCACCTAAGGAGTACTGAGATTACAGGAAATGTATTTGGTATGTCAGCAGCTGTCAGGCAAGCTTGTGCTGAGGAGGAATCCTCCCGCCTGAGCCTTGGCACGGTGGTCTCACGTAGGGAAACAGAGTGACAAGCCAGCAAAGCAGCAGTGTGCCACTCCTCCCTCCACGGCCTTCACTTGGAGCTTTAATTTAAATTGCGTTAAAGAGAAAATGCCTCTATTCTCGTCATCTGTGGGCAAGAACCCGCAGTCACCCACCAGAACAAGAGCATGCCTGTGTGGGCATCCTGAGACCTGTGTAGAAGATCAGGCACCGGTGACCACCAAGGATCCCTTCACTTCCCCAGGAAACCATCAGAATGAAATAAAACGCAGTAAACGCCTCAGCCTCCCCCCCTCAGACTGAACTCATGCTCTGCTCTGGGGGCAGCGGGAAAGTAGGTAGCTGCTTTACTTCGTGTGTTTGGAAGTTGCTTGCTGCTTCTGGCGATGGGAGCTACGAGAAAGAGATAGCTAATGGGAGCAAAGGTGGGGCAGTGGGACTGGCACCGAAGTACCGCAGCCCACGTCACGTCACCAGATAAAGGGCGCAATCGAGCAAGACACGTCTGTATCACCAAAGTGCGTGTGGTCACCCAAAGGGCGCTTTGTTCCAGCTCTGCCTTTAATGCAAGGCTGCCTTTTACTTGATGCTGTTAATATTTTGGCAAATCATTTTTATTTTGGGATGGAGATTATTCTTTAACATTTTATTCTGTGTATTGTTAATAGGTTTATGATGTTCTTTATTGCTTTTGTGGTTTCTTTTGTTTACCAATGACTTGCTTCCTACAAGCTGTTTGGTTTTCTTTTGGAAAAATCAATTCATTTAGCTTTAGTGTATCTAGAAGTTTAATTCCTCATTGCTCATTTGTATCTGGGTTTGTGCAATCAGCAGTATCTGCTTTTGGCAGCAAGCTACTAAAAATGGGATTTCAAGTTTTATTTTTTAGCAAAAGCTTTGGTGTCAAGTTCAGAGGAAAAAGAGAACAGATATGCTTTTTTTAAATGAACTTTGTAGTAAAAAAAGAAACTAAATTATTGATTAGGAGTTAAAATACAGTTATGAAACATTTTCAGAAGTTATCCTGAAAGTACAGCCAGGAAGGAACTCCTCTGAAGGCCAGAGAAGACTTGTCCATCAGGCCTGAAGAATCAGACTGTTTAATTTTATAGTCTATTTTTGTTTGTCTTAACTAAAAGGCTTTACGAAACAGTCTTAAAATAATTTCTCATTTCTCATAATCTTAGGTTGAAAGAGCTGTTTACGTAACTGTTCAGATTGACCTTGTCTTTTAAGGAATCCATCAGAGTTTTAGCATTAGATGGTTTAGTTCCTTTTAGTAGTTGTGTGGTATTTGCAACCTGTCTGTCAGCATTACTCAACACAGTTCAGTTAAAAGTTTATGCCAGCTGCCCATCTATCAGTTAAACTTAGGACTTTTTTAATGTTAGGAACTGTTCCTCTGAACAGAAATATGGAGAAAATGTTAATAAAATTAATTTTTTAAAAAATCTCCAACATTGCATCTGAATGTTATGTGGAATAAAGGTGAATACATTGCACATTGCAGAAGTCTCGAATATTGATTTAACATATTTCAAAAGGAGACACAAGGGTGACTACAAGCCATTACAGCATATAACTCAGAGAATTTTAGTTGTATCCCCATAACAACACTTCTTACATTTCTTTCAGTTTGTTTAGTTTAAGATATTTATTAAGAACATTTATTCTTCATTTCTAAAAGAAGCAAAGGCAAAAATGCAGTGTGATATACTAGAACTAAGAGAAACTCATTGGTTGTTTCTAGAAATTAATTCTGATGTCTCAATTTATGCAAGCCTCTTTCTAAAAGCAAAACTTCTGGAGTCAAACGAAGTTGGTGGGTTTTCACGAAATATGCAACAACGAGGAGTATATATTCTGCGTATAAGAACTGAAAAAGAAAAGTTTTATCATGATGTTATATGGCTGTGTCAAAAGCAAATCTCTGATTTACTCCAGCGCCTGATCGGAACTCGGGTATCCTCAGGATCTTGGCTTGTCTGTTGGACCAGGTATTATTAAAAGGGTGAACAATATGTTAATTTCAAGCTTTTGGTGGAGAATACCTAAGGTTTTTATAATTTTAGGAATTATAAATGTCTTGTCTTTGGACTCCAAGGTGTCTCAGAGCTCATGGAATTTTGGGTGTAGATACCAGACCATGTCTGGTATCTTCTAAACTGAAGAGTTTACAGATGATACTTGAGTTATCCAGAAAGCAGAGATGGGACAATAAGAGAAACAAGCCAGGCCATGGATTGTGGTTTCACGGCACTTCACATGTCCAGTGCACGTAACAAAAAAGGATCACTGCCCAATTAAGGGTTAGAATGAGAACAAACCAGGTGTTTAGAGGAAGTATTTTAAAATTCAGGCATATTGACCATACTTTGACTTAAGCATAGAAATGGATCAATAAACGTACATCGGAATTTAAAACACAGTTTTCCTCTCATGCAAGAGTTGTCATGGAAGAGCACAAGCATCTCTTGTGCCTTCAGATTTAATCTTTCCTATAAAACAGTCACAGCTGGGTCAGGAAACTACTTCAATGCAGAAAAAATCTTCAGTCCTGAACAGAAAATACGTGTCCAAATGATGTTGTGGCCTTTTATTAGTGAGATCCAAGTTGACCAAGCAACAGCTCCTGTAATGCAGCTGGTCTCAAGGGGAGCGTGAAGATGTAGGTGGTGGGTGCCGACACAACTGTTAGCCCCCAGCGGACCACAGAAACTCCTCCTAGAGAAACTGAAGATGTCACCCAACACGAAGTGGAAAGCCCTGTTCAGGCCAGGAACCCTGAGCGGCTTGAGCACGCACAAAAGTAACGGGCAAACAAGTGCATGTCTCTTCGCTCTCCTGCTATTTGAAGGTTTCCTGCTGGCTTTGTTGATTAAACAATTCCTAGTTGGTTCAATAATATAAAAATTACGCAACATATGCAGAGACAGATTTCCC